TTTTTTTTATTTTTTTTATTTTTTATATGTTAATTTTATTTAAATAATGTATAATAATATAAAATATGATAGAAATAAATACAAATATTAAAAAAATATATAATCATAATTTAGTTTTTATTTTTATTTTTTTAAAATAATTTTTAATAATAAAATAATAATTAAAAAATATTTAAAAAAAAAAAAAAAAAAAAAAAAGATTGGGCTCGAGCTCGAGCTCGAGCTCGAGCTTGAGCCAAAAAAAGAAGAACTCGACGAGCTCGACAAAATAGACTCGAGCTCGAGCTTGAGCCAGCCAAAAGAGGCGAGCTCGGCTCGTTCACACCCCTAGTCGTGAATAATAGAACGTACCTTTACAAATGAGTAAAACATCTATTTATATGTGGTTGATTGGGTTGGGCTTACTCTGTTGGGCCCAAGCCTTACTTTGAAGGTGCTTGGGCTTTCGTGTATTGGGCCCAATTGTAAGTGATTGGGCTTTCGTGTACTGGGCCTAGTTATCAGATAATTTAAGGCCCATTGGGTCGGCCCAATTAGGTATATCAATAATGTAAATTATATTCCATTCATCGTATAATAAGTTAGAAGATATTTTCCCTCTATATTAATTTATATAATATAATTTTGCTTTTATAAGCAGACTTAATTAATGATAAATGGGAATTTTGTTCTTATTTGTGGAGGTTATATCTAAGTAGCTTTAAAATCAAAATCAACAATAAATTTGATTTATTTAATTATTTATTAATGTAATTTAAGTAGCTTTCGCATTCTTAATGTGATCTGCACCGTAATAAATTGACACTCTTTGAGCACAAATAGGGATCAAATCAAACGATTCAATGATGCTTGATTCAAAATCTCGTTTTAATTTGGTTGTTAACATAACCAACTAATTAGCTTAAATATATATATTTTCAAGTTTGATAAATTCTGAAGCTCGATTCGAGTTCGAATCCAATTAGAAAAAAAATATTAATAACATAATATTCAATAAATGTTAAGGTAATTGAGTTTGATTCGTGTTCTGTTGAATTAAAACTAGTTCGAGCTATATTAAGTTATTATCAAATTAAACTAAAAAATATTTCCTTTTTTCATTGTAGTCACAAGGTTTTTAATGTGGTAGTTGGTAGGTAATTAAATAGTAAATGGGGTGGGTTAAATGAACTTGCCAACTGCAGTAAATTTTTGTCAGTTTCATATTTGACACACAAACACAAATTTAGCATAGAATAATTGAATGTAGTGGATTTTAATTTCGAATACTCACATACAAGAATTAACTACAACTAGTCTCTAATTAATGAGCTAATTATTATAAAACAATAGAATAGACCTCGAATAAAAAAATATAAAAAAAGTGGAGAATTGAACAATTCCCTTTTCTTTTCTTTCTTTCTTTCTTTTTTCTTTTCTTTTTTTTTTAAAAAACAAATTGAAGGGAAAAACATCTTAATAATTCTAGAAATTGTAAAAACATTAATTATTTGTGCACGACAAGAACAATTAATTTAATTTTCCAGGGTACAATAATATTGTCAAATGCTACGCATGTACTTATAAAAAATGGGATCGGAATGCATGATAGCACAACAAAGAACTCTAATAAATTTCAGTATTAATAAGCAGTTTAGAAAAAAAGACGTTTAATGGGGTGATTTGATATGCACCCCTGATATGGAAAATGATATGCCTAATTCAGGACAACCCAGTGGGCCTACAATTTCTTTACCTACACAAAAAAATTATGCTGCTATTACATGCAATTTTTTTTCCTAACTGCGTTCAACATTTCCATCAACTTCATTTAGCCTTTTTGTTTTATTTTGTTTTATTTATTTTTTTAATAAGTTTTTTTATTTAAAAAAAAAGTATAATTTAATTATTTTTAGTTTTTTTTTTCTGAACATTTTTTCCCGAAAATTATTGTTATGTTTCACAGTGTAAATAATACCTTAAGTTGTCAAGTATTATGATATTGTAGTTGTACTCCATACGTTAATGTTGTTTGAAGATAAGATTTTGTGGATAGAATGTTTAAATTTTCGGTTAAAGAAAGTGGAATGAGCTAGAGAATAGCCATTTATTTTCAAGCCTCTTAGAATATTGACCATTGAGTAATTTGTAAACATTCAACTCAAATTCATCATGTTGGGGAAAACAATAAAAAATCATGACCATTCCGACGATTTTTAAAGTGTCGCGAAAAACATTTCCGATAGTTTTGTTATATCTTAAAGTATATACGCCGTTTTTTTTTCAATTTAAGGGTGTGAAGTAGACCTGACCACCGGTTAGGTTAGAACCGGAACCGGAACCGGAATCGAACCGGGGTCAACGGTTTTAGAACCGAACCGGAACCGGAACCGAGAAAACCGGTTTGGTTCCGGTTCCTCATTTTCGGAACCGAGAACCGACGGTTAGAACTGTTTTTTTTTTTAAAGAAAAAAATAGAAAATATTAATTCCCCCCCTCTCTCTCTCTCTCTCTCTCTCTCTCTATATATATATATATATATATATATATATATATATATATACACACACTAGTTTTTTGGGCACCGCACAATGCGCGGTGTTGAATGCCCAATTCAATTGCATTAAAATGAAATAAAATTCGATAAGTCGTGCTATTTGCCCACTATAGAGGTTCGTTTTTATGTGTTTTTTTTACAGCGTTTGATTTCACCGGCATGTTGTAGTGATAAATGTTTTTGAGATGCGAAATCGAAATAACCTATAATTTATTCACATTATAGACCACCATAAGTGTTGCAATTGCTAAAACCTTCTGGATAACCTCCCCCGCCATAGATACAAATGTAATGCTCAAAGCTCCCTATTGCATGTTCCTCCCAATCAAACAGAGAATATATTCCTCATAAACATGGCTACAGTTGCCAGGAAAATGCTTGATGATATGATATTTGTTGTATTATATTTAGCCTAGTTCAATGTACATCCTTATTTGCAAAAAAAGAAAAAAAACCCCTCAAATTATATGAAACTCGCAAACCATCTAAAAACAATTACCGGGTGTGTTTCAGGAGCTGTAGCATCTCAAACGACCAATTTTAGGAGGTCGATCATGTTAAAATATTAGATTTATTGTTTAGTTAATTAAATGATTAATATTAGTTTAGTAAATTAATTAGTCAAAATAGTATCTCTGATTGTAGGAAACTTAGTTAGTTGTTAGTAGTGGGTTAGTGTACCCTAAAATTAGGATAAGTTTGTTAATTAGTTTTCTATTTAAGTTGTAACGAAAAACACCGTTTATTGGTTTTTTCAACATGGTATCAGAGCTTGGATCCTGACCTGTGATATCTCTAGGGCATCTGTTTTTGTGAGATGAGAGAGAGAGAGAGAGAGAGAGAGAGAGAGAGAGAGAGAGAGATAGGACGAAGGAGAGTTATTCAAAACCCTCTAGTTTGGCGAGAATGTTTTGCAAGAGGAGAATGAATAGTAGATTTTTACAGTTCATGCTCGAACTTCATGGTCCATCTCCCTCGAACCTTCGTATATAAGTAGAATCTAGGATTCAAGGCGGAAGCTTTGGGTGGCTGACGACAACACCTAGCGCTCGGAGGAGCCGAGCCATACGTGGTTGATGATACCCGGCCGGCAATGGAGCACAATTGGAGCTGCATCAAGTCTTATAAGTTCTTGAATAATGAGCAGCAGCATGCAAACCTCGAATTCTACGGCGAACACTCGGTTATCCAAGTGAGGCGGTCTTCCAAATGGCAAATACGCCCATGACAAGGGACTTAAATGCACATTGGCCCACAAAAAAAAACAGTCTTTCAAATAAACTCATCCCATGTCTTTAGTCTAAAATACCCCCCATAATATAATTCTTATTAATTCCATCCATTATGCTCTAACTTCCTTAATATCACACATTGACCCCGAATTCAAACAAATACAACACATTAACGCCCATTTTAATAATTTTTTGAATTTTTTTTTTCAGAAAATAAATTTTTTTCTGAAATTTTTTTCCGGCCAGATTTCGGCGTTGACCGCCGAAGACCGGGGGTCTCCTCCGGCTTTGATTATTTTTTTTTATTTATTTATCGTTTTTTTGAAAACTTTTTTTTTCTGAATTTTTTTTCCGGCCTGTCAACCGCCCGTTAACCGTCGGTCTCCGGCGTTGACTTTGTTTTCGGTTTTTTATTTTAACTTTCTTTTTAAATTGTGTTTTTTCTTAGAATAAAATTATTTTAATTAATATTACTGTTTTGCCTGCTAAAATTACCGTCTCAAACAGTAATATTACTGTTTGAAACAGTTGTATTATGAATATTATTTTTTCGAATAGTTATATTATTCATATTATTGTCCCTATCAGTAATATTATTGCATGAGACAGTAATATTACAGTCGAAGAGAGCAAAAATGCAGGCCAAGACGATAAAATTAATTGATACAGTAATATTAATTAAAATATGTTTTTTTAAGAAAAAACAAAATTTCAGAAAAAAAAAATCAATTAACAGATAAATTACTGTCTCCGACAGTTAAATAACTGTTGGAGACAATAATTAACCAATGAAGACACTAATATTAATTAAAATATTTTTTTAAGAAAAAAAAAAAGTCAATTAACAGTTAAATTACTGTCTCCGAAAGTTAAATAACTACTGGAGACTGTAATTTAGCAACCAAGACATTAATATTAATTAAAAAAAATTAAGAAACTGCATTCAACATTTCTGGTCCTGCATTTATCAGTTTTGCTCATTTGTTGTTATTATTATTATTATTATTATTATTATTATTATTATTATTATTATTATTATTATTATTATTATTATTATTATTATTATTATTATTATTATTATTATTATTATTATTATTATTATTATTATTATTATTATACAAATCAAAAATGCACAAATATATGCATATGTAACTACATGTTGCTAGTAATGTATAGTAATGCACAGTAATGTACAGTAATTTATACAGTCTGTTGTTGAAGCACATGTAAATTCAACAAAACTTTTTCACAGCTTCAGGAAGAGGATAATGGCTTTCATTAAGCTGCAATAGCAAAATCAAAATTACAAAAAAATTATTTTAGAGCAAATCAACAAAAATTGAAGAAACATCAAAATACTCAAATCAACAAACAGTAAGAGATAGATAGATAGATAGATAGAAAGAAAAAAAAGGCTATTGCTGGGAAATGCTACAAATTTTAAACCAAACAGCCAGTGACTCCTCACCCCAGTCGCCTCCTACCAAAACCCTAGTTGCCGCTAATAACCACCTAAGGTTCCGCGTTCAGAGATGTTAAAAATTATACAAATAAATTTGACGATATAAAAGTGAACGAAATTACCATCAAAATATAGATCTCGGCGAGAGGAAGCCAACGGTGGGTTGCCCGTCAAATTCCGACTGCCGGAACACAAAATATACCTCCGACAAGAGCCACCGTCGTCGAAATATGCATAGACAACAAAACAAGTGCAGAAACAGATTGAGTGATCCAAACTGAATGAAATCACCATAAAACAAAAAGAGCTCGACGAGAAGAATCCAACGGTAGTTAAACCATCGAATTCCGACCACCAGAGAGAGAGTTATGACTCCGTGAAGCAATTTCGCCGGTTGGAGAGTTATGGGGCGGGATTTGAATCTGAGATTTGAGAGAGGAACAGAGAGACGACTATGAGTGGCTAGGGTTCAAAACTGATTTTAAAAGGGCAATTTAGGTATTTCAGGGTGGCCGAGGGAGTATGTCAAATTATTATCGAAATGGAGGAGGTTTGCAATAGTGTGTAATCCTCATGCTAGTTAGTTCTATACAATTTGGAAATGAAGGGTTATCCAAAATAATCGCATATGGGTCATTTGATATACACCCCTCAAATGAAAAATATACATGGATAGGTCCACCCCTAAAAATCTTCCTTTTATATACACCAAAAAAAAATTAATATTAATTGTTCACAAATCTTCAAATACGAAGTAGATCTAGTTTTGTTTTTTTAATAAGAAATAGTATATATGGTTTGAGCCTTCCTCCAACCAAAACAAAGAGACGAAACTAAAACAATAACGTAAAAACCATTTAAAACGGAAGTAGATGTTTTAATACAGAGTTCAAGACGGTGGGAGGAGCAACGACGGCCGGCGCACGGCAGTGGCGGAGCAGAGGTGCGTGACGGTGGCGGAGCAGCGGAATGCGGTGTCGGAGTAGCAGCAGAACGCAGTGGCGAAGCAGCGGCGCAATGCAGTGACGGAACAGCGGTGGGAGAAATAGAGAGACTCTTAGAGAGAGAAAGTTAGATAGAGAGATGAAGAGAGAGGGCCAAAGTTGTTATAAGAGAGAGAGAGAGAGAGAGAGAGAGAGAGAGAGAGAGAGAGAGAGAGAGAGAGAGAGAGAGAGAGAGAGAGAGAGAGAGAGAGAGAGAGAGAGAGAGAGAGAGAGAGAGAGATGAAGAGAAAGGGAGAGAACGGCTGTGAGTGGAAAGAGAAGGGTGGACTAGGGTGTATGTATTGAATTAAAACTAAATGGGTAAAACAGGTACTTCAAGTTGTTCAGGGGATCTCCCTAATTAATATCAGAATTTGGGGTTTTGAATAAGAAGGAAAAATTTATTGGGCCTCCTCATATATATTTTTTCAAAACTAGGGGTATCACTCATTTCCCATATATACATATATATATATATATATATATATATATATATATATATATATATATATATATATATATATGTGTGTATATTTATAGGGAGTGAATAACAATTTGCCCTTAAGAAAATATTTGTGAAAAAGATTGTAGAAAAAGTTCAATGTCGAATAATATTTGTTAGAGATTTTGGCCTATTACCTTTGTTGTAATTTTATTGAACTTTGTTTGTACCTTTTTACTTTGACCTTTTTAATTTCAAATAGAGAAATTTGCATATCACCCTCTAGAAATTTATAATTTTCACACTTTACTCCCTTTATAAAATTTTAAAAGTGAATGTCCCGATAGCAATATTTTGATGGATTATTCATCGGCATTTCTGTATATTTTGTTTACCAAATGGGCTTCACGTGAGGTGCACGTGACGATTCCATCCAACTTAACAGCCAAATTCGAGGACCGAACTAAAATTATCAAAAAGTGACAAGTTTGAGGACCAAAATCATGGCGAAAAATGTTTAAGGACAAAAATCGTTTTATCTGTGAAGTATAGGGACAAAAAGTGTAATTATCCTTGATATTGTCTCTGTTTTTATTTTATCTTCTCATTTCCAAATTTTCGTTTCGAAATGTTGTTTCATAAAGAGAAAAAAAAAAAAAAAACTCTTTGTTTAATTCTTTTAGTATGCCAAAACAGTGGTTTGCTATTATCATTTGTTTTGTTTATCTTCAAAGTGTATTTACAAATTTTTTTGCATGATTTAGTTAGAGTATCTCCAACTGATTTCACCAAATTTTATTTTTTATGGTGATGAAATTGGTTCATCTCTCACCGGTGGTACACCATTTTATCTGTCCACAATTTTTTGTGGAAAATGGTGTCTTTGTCTCCCATGGATTTCACCAAAATTTATACCAAATATTAAAATAATAATATTTCACCATCTCAACACTTATAGAAAATGTAATTTTGTTTGTTCTCCCATGGCATTTCATCATATACCAATACTGTAAATCTAATATTTATCGTAATTTTAGTATATTTTATTTCCTAAATATTAATTATACATCAAATTTTGAGTTATATTTTTTTTGAACTATACAATTTAAACATTATGTATCAATTTAAAAAGGGCAATTTACAAATAAGTCCATCAATGGGTACTTATTCATAAAGAGATCCAGACAATAAACTCTTTGACTAGAAAGTCCACACATGGTCCAGAGGTTTGTAAAACTAAAATAGCAATTTACAAATAAGTCCATCAATGGGTACTTATTCATAAAGAGATCCAGACAATAAACTCTTTTACTACAAACTCCACACATGGTCAAGAGGTTTGTAAAAGACTAAAATAGCCCCTCATATTTTAATATGCTCCAATTTCATCACTTAATTTAATCTAACCTCAATTTGACCCCAAATTTCACAAATTATTCAATTTTGACCCAAAAACCCAAAACACATTTTTATGGACAATTTCGTCCGTCACCGCCGTTGACCGCCGGTCTCTGGCGTTGATTTTTTCTGCTTTTTTTTTTAATTTTTTCCTGCTGGTTTCCGGCGTTCACTTTTTCAATTTTTTTTTTTTAACATCTTTTCCCCCGTTTAAACATCAATTGCTATGATTGACCGTAATATTAACTATATTACTGTTAAACACAGTAAATTAACTATACTACAGTCTAACACAATAATATTGCTATATTAATCTCTAGCACAGTAATATTAGCACAACAAAACTCATTATTATTGTGTAATAGAGTAATATTAATATGTTGACTGTTCAACAAATGTAAACATAACAAAAAGCCAAAAGAATTAATATTACAATGAGTGATAGTAATATTACTATAACAACAGTCATATTACCGTCATGCACAGTAATATTACAATAATAGACAATACTATTATTACGTTACTCTGTTAATAACTCAAACAAAACAAAAAAAACACAAAAAAATAATAATAATGATGTGGTTGACAGTAATATTACTATAACAACACTAATATTACCGTCAACTACAGTAATATTATTGTGTTTACAGTAATATTACAATAATAGACAGTAACATTATTGTGTTACTCCGTGAATAAATCAAACAAAACAAAATAACCCTAAAAAATAATAATATTGATGTGGTTGACAGTAATGTTATTGTGTTTACAGTTATTTACAGTCAACGACAGTAATATAATTACGCTGACTTGTCAACTAATCAAACAAAAAAAAAAAAAAAATAATAATAATACTGTCATTGCCTCTAATTGTACTATCAACGGCAATACAATTACATAAATGTATTGTCAACGGCAGTACAATTACGTTGATGTACTCTCAGTGACAATATAATTACGTTAATTTATTATCACTGATAGAATAATTACCGTTAATGACAGCACAACTACGGTCAACGTTTAGCGGCGGACGTAAAAAAAAAGAAAAAAAACATTGAAAAAAGTCAACGCCGGAATCCGGCGGCAAAAAATATTTTTTGATAAAAAAAATTGAAAAAATAAAGTCGAAATTGGATTTTGTGGTCAAAATTGATTAAATTGGGGTTAATATTAAGAATTGGATGTAAAAGGTTTGGGGTAATTTTGTCATATACATATATTTTTCTTTTATTTATAATAAATATTAAAGGGACGGGCTTATTGGTGAAAGAGATTGTTGGCACCAAATTTCCGTTTGTGAAGATTGAAGAAATCCGCCATACGTGGAAATTAAAGATTGGCAAAGATTTATTTTCCATGTTTATATTGGAATTAATTAGAGTCCTATTCTTGTAATATTTTTATTAGGACTTAGATTTATTTCCATGTATTATATTCTAGTTAGGTCTCTTTTGTACTTATCTAGAATAGAAGTAGAAATCGACTAGGATTCTATTACCTAGTTAAATCGATTTCTTAGGGCCCAAGTTAGGTTTAGGGTGGAGATTTCGTGCCTATATAAGGCCCTCAACCTCATATGAGTCCGACGGAGCTTTACAAAGAAAAATCCCAGCATAAAGGCTTTGAAGGGTGCAGCCCGTGCTGCAGCCCTGTCTGCACGACAGGTGTGGCAACAGAACAGGTTTCTTCTACCAGGCCATAAAGAAGATCGGCGTTTCGGGAGAAGTGCTTAAAAGATCTCGGGAGAGGTCGATCCGCCGTTTGAAGGAAGTTCAACATTGGAGGAAGTCTAAGAGTGCGGAGGAGGAATTGCTTTGATTATCAACAAGTTCGAGTCGTGTGCAAGAACGGTGTATCACATAAAGAGGGAGTCTTTAGTGTTTTATTAAGTCCTATTAATGTACACTTAAATCTGAACTAGTTTTGCAAGTCCTCGTGGATGTAGGGTACGTTTGTATCCGAACCACATTAAATTGTTGTGTTCTTTATTCTGCTTTT